AAAGGGTAAAGTGTGAAAGAAAGGATGCTCCCCTTTCAAGGTTGTTGTCATTGCTTGTTGATGAGATGTACACTAAAAGAAAACTATGTACTTGAACATCCATTGAACTGCATGATGAGTATGTGAGTCATGGTGGTCAGTTGACACGAAAGCAAATGTTTACCAATCTGGTATACATATGAGACACAGAATCAATGCATCTAAAAAACACGTTGCATAAAGAAATAGATGTTTCACTGCCCGTGTTGTTTTGTAAGAACACATAGTGATCTCAAGGGCTATTGATAACTTTTTCGTCAGAGTAATAAAATAAGAGTGAACAAACTTCGGAAAAAGAAGTAGACGTTTTTTACTTGAAAACTGAAGAACAGGTGTAAGATATGGTTTACTTATTGTGATTACAGCATACATTCATATTATTACATTGTATATATTCACATAATGTATCTACTATATTTTAAAAATATATGACAGTTTATCTGTTATGTAACCCTTATAACCAATGTTGTGCTAAAAAGCGTGGGGTACCCCAGCTGCCTTCGTCCGAGAAAACAGACAGAGGCCGATGAAGTAAGAGAGGGGTTGTTAGTGAGTTTATTTTCTTGCTAGATTAAAAAGACAATAAAAACAAAAAGTCAGATTTCAACAACAAGAACAATAGTATCCCGGTGGGTAAGGAGGCATGCATTGCTACATTCCCGCATACTAAATGTTGTGCCAATTTTCAGATTTCCAGTTTCTCACTAATAACTAATATTGGTAAACTTTCAAAGTATGCAAAAACTTGTAAATAAGATGGTGTCTAAAAAATGACAAAGCACAAAGTCTTTGTATTGGCATCCTTAACTTATGACATCTTCCATTACAGAACATTTTATAATAGTTTACATTTATTCATGATTATACACGCTGAAAGTTTTACATTACGTCATATCCATAAATTAGTGTTAAAAAAAACTTTTTCCCTACATCACTACATGCTGACAGCTTCACAGAACATCAAATCCATAAATTAGTGTTAATAAAACTTTGTTCCTACATCACTACATGCTGACAGC